GGTAAAAGCCAAGAGGCTGGCTGATTACAAATTACCCTATGCTTTGTTGATCAGTAAATTTTTTAGACATTTTGCAGTGGACTTAGAAGGGAAGTATGTAGAAACTCTGAAAGCATCAAATGAGGTTGATGACTCAACCCTACGAAAAATGGGGTTTATTAAAATTGACGATGAATGGATTTCGAAGGTGGATGCTGGGATGTCAGACGGTGAGGAAGAAGATGAAGATGAAGATCAGGGCCAGATCCCTTCCTCTCCAGCTGCTGCAGAGGTTCCAGAGTCAACAAGTGGTCAAGCGTCCTATGAAAACATGGAAATTATCCCTTTCATGGAGCAGCCTGACCGTGGGACTCCTCTATCTCAGTTTGAAAGAACTATGCTTTCCCAAATGGCTGCAGTGCAGGAAAATCAGAGAAAGCATATGCAGATGACATTCCAACACTTTCAGCAAACCAACCATCAATTCGCATCCCTTGGCAACCAAATTGCTGATATCTACACCAAGCTGGAAGATATGCAGCTGAATCAAGGGAACTGGGATGATTAGATTTATGGATAAAAAGGGTCCCTTCTCATCTTTTATTGCTTATTTCTTTTGATGCTTATTCTAAATTTCTGGGTCTGTAATATTACTGGTTATATACCAGGCACAATCTCTCTAGCTTTGAATTAATATAATGTAGGTTTAATTCGAATCAAACTAGCATAGATAGAATTCAACATAGATCCCTGAGAGTTTTAGCTGATACAAAATGGAATTAATCGATTAAATTGATTAAAGGAAACACTTTTCATAACAAAATAATCGATTAAAACTTCGTATCAATCGATTAAAATCTTTATAAACTAGCTTACATCAGTTAAATTAGATAAATAAGATTTTATTCTGATATTGATGGATCTATTAGTTAAAATTTAATCATTGTAGTTGATATTATTGTTAAACATCCTTCTAGCTGATCAGTTTTACAAAAAATTCACTAGATTAGGCATGATAAATTCGCATCAAATCTTTCTTAGTTTTCAAAACTGAGTGTTTTATTCAATAAAAAATCTTTTAAATCGACTAAAAGAATTTATACAACATTTTTTTCTTACTGTTTTAATCGATTAAATGTCGAAATAATCGATTAAAAATAATCGATTAAAAGCACTTATGTCTTATATTTCAAAGTCCTTCACTGTTTTAATCGATTAATCCTTTATTTCAATCGATTAAAATCATTAAACAAGAACTTTTTAATCGATTTTGTTTTGTTTCTAATCGATTTTTATTCTGGAAAGAAAAATTAAAGGTTTTAGTTAATGACTGTTCTTGTAACATGCTACTAAAGTGTGATTCCCTTATCTTTACACGTGTTAATTGTATTCATTACAAATGTGTTAATGAAGATAAGTTTGAATCAACTTTGATTGATCTTTACATGAGTAAAGTATCGTATTTTTCTTTTTTTTTTCTATTTTCAAAATCTTTTCAATACATACATTTGCATTGTTTCTCTTCTATTCCCTATTTTTTTTTTATGAAGTCAAAAGGGGGAGAAATAGTTGCTTTTACTTTTGATCAATTTAAAGGGAGAAATAACTCTTAATTTAGGGGGAGCAACAATTTAGGGGGAGAATTAGGAAGATAATTCATTTTTGATTACTCACTAATCTGTATTATCAAGTGACTTCTTTTTTGCAAAGTTTTTTTTTTCAAAAGTAGTGTTTGTCTTCATCAAATAGGGGGAGACCGAAAGTGATGAAGATCTTATTAAAATACTTTGGCAAAAGATCTCATTGATTTGATGAAGTCAAAGATGAAGTCAAAAGCAACTTTGCAGCGGACAAAAGTCACTAAGATAAAAGAGTAGAAGAATTAGTGTGTCTTCAGCTATGCTTAGGTATAATCATTTTATCTTTTCTGCTGCATGAGGTTTCTTCACTTAAAAGATTTTGCAAAATGCCTCTAAAAATGTTTTAAACAATTAAAAACAAAGTATTTTGACAAAAGCTTTCTTAAACAAGTTTTTAACTGATATAGTTTTAAAATAAACGATTAAAATCACTTAGAATGTTAAGAGAAGTGTTTTTACAGTATTTTAATCGATACAACTTGATTTTAATCGATTAAAACCACTTGGAGTTCAGGATGATCGATCAAAATACAATTATGACCGATCAGAATCAGATATGATCGATCAGAATTTGGTTATGACCGATCAGAACTCTTTTAATCGATTAAATCTCGTTTCAATCGATTAAAACAACTTAGAAATTTTCTACAAAGCGTTTTAATCGATTAAAACGAGTTTTTATCAGTTAAAATAACTTGAAAAGTTTTACAAGAAAGTTTTGCAGTATTTCAATCGATTGAATCGCGAAACAATCGATTAAATCAACTTAGAAGATTTTTTGTAATGTGTTTTAATTGATATAAACGTTGTCGTATCAGTTGAAACAATTTTGTTAAAGAATCAAGAACGTATTAATGGATTAAAAGAAGTTTTAACAAATTAAAACTGCACTTTTAACAGATTAAAAGAATCTTTTAACAGATTAATTAAACCAGCAGTTTTGAAAATCTTCTATAAATACAGTTTGGCTTGAACTTTTTTAACATACATTGAATATCATCTTTTACACATCCTTGAGCAATCAATCAAGCAAACTTTAGCATTCTTTTCAAGAAAGATTCGCATCAGTTTTTGAGAATTTCTTTGAAAATCTTTCTTGAGGCAACTTGATTTCTTTTGAAGAAGAAACACTTACAGCAGAATTGCATAAACTAGTTTGAGCATTCTAGTTTCTTCTTTTTCATTTCTTTACATTCTTTTTGTATTGTTTGGTGCCTGGAATTTGGGCACTGGTTTCTCTACAGCTGGAATTTGGTTGTAGAGGTTATCAAGAACTGTAATTTGGTTCTTGGTGAGAGGTTGAGTGCAGGAACTGAAATTTGGTTCTTGTGGTAGATTAAGTGTAAGATTGTAAGTCTGTAAAACATTTGATCTAGTGGAACCCAGCTGGAATTTGGCTGGAGACTGGACGTAGCCCTGGTATTGGGTGAACCAATATAAAACACCGGTGATATCTTTCTTAACCTTTCTCTCCTTTAATTCTGTCGCTGCATTTATATTGATTGATTGCTTTGTGATTCAAGAACAGATCTGAAATCTTATTTTTACAAATAGATAATCTGTTATTTGCGAAAAACTTTCAAAGATCAATTCACCCCCCCTCTTGATCTCAGCCTACTTTTCTGACACCTTTTTCTTGCATTGCCTCTGCAGACCATCAATGGTGATGATAGATTCTTGCTCTCTCTCTTCAAGGGCCCTCATCTGGGCTCCCATGATCTCTATCCTCTGGGTCAAGGCATCGACTTGGGCTTGCAGCTCTTCACTGTTAGTGCTCGTAATGAGTGAGGTGGATGGTCGAGACACCCCTCTTCTTCTTCTTCACGCTTCATAGTCACTGGAGGTAGTCACTCGAGCTTTTCCTAGCTCTCTATCTCCCGTAATGAGTGAGGTGGATGGTCGAGACACCCCTCTTCTTCTTCTTCACGCTTCATAGTCACTGGAGGTAGTCACTCGAGCTTTTCCTAGCTCTCTATCTCCCATATAGACTGGTCTCTCCCATGCTTTTCTCACGGCTGATGAGTTGGCGATGGTGCATGGGTCTCCGAAGAAACACAGTCCTCCGAGTTCCCCTCGAGAAATGGTAGTTTGGGTTCTCATGAGTTGTCTCATAGCTACTCTAGGTGAGTAGGCTATGCAATCCCTGAGTCCTATCAAGGGTACGTTCGAATAGTCTCCACATCTGATGAGGACTGGACCGGGTCGGAACCATGGGCAGACCCAGGATAAACTGTTGGCATCCAGGCGTTCCAAGTCATCCCTCCACTCTGAAGTTAAGCGTCTTTGGAGAGGGATTTTGGAGAAGCTCTTTAAAGGATCGGGGAACATCCCCATGTGACTAGAGGCGTAAAAATGTGTAATGCCCCACACAAATAGTAGTGAAGAGCAGCAGCGAAGTGTTTTTCCTTGCTTCTGGTGGCAGAAATTCACCGAGAGCAAGGTGTCGTCAAGAATTGCAAGCAAGGGACTCTTCGAGTTTACGTCCCATGCGAAGAAGGCATCCATGACGGCTTGATCCACTATATTGAGGTGGAAGGGAAATAAGATTGTTCCAAATATTATTAGGGTCAGAGTTTTGTTGAAAGCGACCCATTCTGTCCTTTCAACCAAATCGGACAGGTGGTCTTCTAACACTGAGACCTTCCAACCCTGGACATTCCCTTTTCCTATCAGGGTAGTCTGTTGGAATGGTAGTTAAATGATGGCAACGACTTGTGCTGCAGGAGTATATGCCCCGTGGCGGATATGGACTCTGGCTGATTTGGGCCATTTTAGCATGATTTCGTACTCCTCTAAGGTGGGCACCATATCAAACTGCGGAAACTCGAAGCAGCGCAGACTGGAGTTCCAAAAATGAACTAATATCCTGACGAAAACTTGGTCGACACAGATCTTCAGAAGGTCAAGAATCCGTCCATAGGATTTCTCAAAGTCGGAGCGAACCTCTGGTGGCATTGTTACGCTTAGCCGTTCCAATTTCTCAGTATGGTATTGAGGAATATCCACCTTCTTCAATTATCTACTAGTCCCCTCCATTTTCTAAAACCAAAATGCATGTTTTATGAAAATAATGCTTATTGAATGAATGCGAGTGTTTATTTTTATTTATCATGTTTTGTATGCTGCATTTTTTATTTTTTGAAGAAATAAACTACTTATATTAGGGGTAATTTTTGAACCAGGTCCCATAAACGAGACGGCGGTCTCGCCATCCGCGCAAGGCGAGACAGTGGTCTCGAATCCAAGACGGCAGTTTTGACCTTAAGAGGCAAAAATCCTTATTTTTAAACCAAAAATCCCTCCTATCCTAGTATGTAGCCTAATAGTCTCTCCTAATGACTTCTTAGGCTTCGTCCTTCCTCGAAAAGGAGGTCTTCATTGTTAGGACAGCCAAGATTTGGGATCTACGCCTTCGGTGAGGATCCCGATGTCGCCGTGGAGCGCGTCGACCGGGGACAAGAAGCGGAGCGGATTCCGAGTGAGACGAGCGTCTGCGAGATCTTGTGCGCGACGAAGCCGGACTTGCCGACGCCGGTGAAGAAGACGGTACCGGAGGCGTCGAGGAGGGCGCGCGTGAAGGCTAGGGTTTGGGAGTGGTCGATGTGGTTGAAGAAGAAGTTGAGGTGGCTCTGTTGCGACTTGAACAGCGTCGTAAGGGCTCTCGTCAATGCGGTTGCTCTCGTTAAGGCATTGTTTGGCCGCCGCGCCTGGGAATGCGGGCGCAGGTAGAGAACCCATCGCGACGAGCTTATGAGGAAGGACTATTCGTTCTCCCATATCACAAGAAAAGAACAACAAACAAACAGGTTTCTTCTCATGCCCTTTTTCTCTCACGATTAATAATGATGGGAGAAGATCGAATTTCGTTTGATTTATGCGGTAACAAAACGATCGTCGGTGGCGCCGTTAAAATTAAAATAATTTCTCTTTATGATGGATCACGTAAGGCCCATTTTGTATCCTAGGCCCACTTTCAATAAATTTGGCGATGTCGCTTTGGGAAAACATGTGCGCATGTCAAATATACTTATTTTATTTTTATTAAAAAAAATTGGTATATGATCTTTCTATTACAACCTTCAAGCTTTAAGTAAACTTCTTTAAAAGTTTTGAGTTTTCGATAAACAAATAAGAAAAATATGGAATGTAAGAGTTTTCTAACAACTTGGTAGTACAACATGAATGGTAATTTCACTGCTTTACAAATGAAATTATCTTTTTCATTTATTACAAATATTTATTTTTGTTCTGTAAGTACTTATGAGAAAACTTGTAGCAAACAGACCTTATTTTGTTTTTGTCACAACCTTGCGTACTTTTGGACAACAAATTAGTCTGATAATAGTGAAAGGCCCATCTTCCAAAGGTTTTGGGCTTGCATTAATTCGTTCTCTTTGGGCCAACCTTTTATGTTCACGCAATTCCTTCTAGAAATTTGGCTTAAGATTATGTTTTGGCAACATTTACTCCCAATATTTTTATACTAAATTTCCCAACATCATAAATCATCCATGCTTAAGTTTTTAACGCTGTTTAATGCATTTGCTTATGTTTAGATCAAACACGACCAATCATAAAAAGCAAATTCCGGACTTGGATCGAGTTAAAGTTAGAAGATATATAAATTTTCTTGTACTTATAATTTCTATTTATTTTTCTTATTTTTCAATCATGTTACCTATTTGTATTTTAAAATCGATTTCTTCCTTTCATTTCAATAAATCTCAAGATAAGTCTAGATTCATATTTTCAGAGAAAAAAAAGAATTGTGGTTGAAATTTTGTTGGGGACTTATTCGGTAGTTTTTGAAAAAAGAAAATGAAAAGAGTGTTAGAAAAGAGAGAGGGAGGCCCACTTCAAAGTCAGTCCAAAAGCAGAAGCCCCACGTGCACACCTGTCACCATTGTCTGCTACACTGACAGGACACTTCTGGGTGGATCCCATCACATGTACCTCCAATTAACTTTTTAACTACAATATCAAATTTTCCAACTTAAAGTCACTATTGCAATGGAAACACCACCTTGTAATTCTTCTTATAATAATTACTATTGATATACATGTCATTCCTTTTTTTTAAATATTATTTTTTTTAATTATATCCATTATTTATAGTATTTTTTTATTTATTACATTTTATTTAAGTGTAAATTAATGAAGTGTTTATATATATTTTCTATTAATTATATATAGATATTGAATGTAATAAAATTGTACGTATTAAATTAAATTTATACTAATTTGGATATATTGTTAATTGGATGGATGATTTGTAATATGAGCTCCAATTAGCATATTTTGAATTGCAACAATTATTTAATTATGGGATGATATCCTGTGGAATATAGCTGGAAAATTAGTAAAAAAAAATTATATTGAAACAAATGAACATCTTATTTTATATTTCGTTGCCAATTTTCATTTCATAACTAAATAACAAATAATTGTAAATTTTACAAGAAAAAATTGAAAACAAAAGACTATTCTAATGTTAATTTATTATCCTATTTTTTAAAATTTAAACTAATTATTTATGTTTTTTAATTGATTCAAAATAGTTTTTTTTAACAATATTTTCTCTCTTTCACAAGTGTATCTCCTTCCTTCTTTGTCCACGACGTCTAATCTCAATTTCAACCTCCACCTCTTAGTCCAACCCAATAGCACGATAGAGATCTAATTCCCAAATAATTAAAAAGAAAAAAATGAAAAATTCAATCTCCTAATAAATAAAATTTTTATATTAAAATCTAAATATATGAAAGTATAATGATAATTTTTTTGTTAAGATGAGAAAATTTAACAAAATCTCAAAATTATAATAACATTATAATATATAAAAATAATTATTATATTAATTGATTTTTTAAAATCAAATTATTTATTTTATTATTATATTAGAGTCTATTCTAATAATATTAAAATATTATTTGATAATAATTATTAAAATAACTATTTATTATCATATTAATATTTAATATATCTTTTAAGAATGTATTCAAATGAAATTTAGAAAATCAATTCAAAATAAAAAGTATTATATTCTCGCCCTGACAACTTCGTTAATCAAGGAACATTTTCTAGTCCAATCATAATCCTTGTCAGCATCCTCTTATTTCTTAACAAAGTTAAAATCAACACCCCAAACAAAAGTTAATTAATGTTTTTGGATCCAGCGAAAAAGAGGGAGAATTAGAATTGGGAGAGAGTGACAAATTCGAGGAATTCCTTCAAAATGTACACAATTACAGAATCCACAATTGATGACACAAATTAAGATGCGCACATGGAAAAACAAAGAAAGCACACTACTATATTTAGGTGGTAGGTACCTCTTCTGTTGGGTGGAAAATAGGAGCATCTTCCAAAGCTTCTCTTATCACATCTTTAGGATGCCACCTTGCTGTTACCTGGTTCAAAACTTTGTTCAACAAACAAAAATAAAGGATACATGGTCATGCCTGTTCCAATGTGGACAGGTAAAGTGAAAGGTTTATACCTTCACACAATTACTGCAGTTTGGACATCCCCGTATGGTCCCTTTTGGACGACCAGCATTTAAATGGAGTTTCTAAAAAATGAAAAAAGAAAACAAATACCATTAAATTTCTTTATAGTTAGAAGAGAAACCAGTCATGAGATTATGCTCACAAAAGAACATGAAAAAATGGTATTAACTCATCCGCGGTGTGAACCATAATTGCATTCAAATATATGTTTGCATGTGTATTCTACCAGTACTAGTAATGAGAAATTGCCTCAGAACAAATAGCTTATAAGTCCTGCAATTTGAAGCCAAACCACCACATACATTATACAAGAACCTAGGCAGTTTAAATACACTATATGAGTCCTAATAACAATGTAGAATTAAACAAGATAAAATCAGAAGATTTCATTCCATTCCAATTGTTGTAGGTTACTCACCAACTAAGGACATACCAGTTATCTTGAGTCTAGTATTCATTGTCAAACTATTTGAATCATTCGATTGTATCATTAACTGAATCATCAATAAATTTGAATCTTATTATCAATGAATAAATGTGTATGATTTTGTATCATTCATATGAATCACATCAACCAACAATTTTGTCTTGCTTTTTTATTTCAGCAATTTTCATGAAAGGAATCAAAAAGTCGTATAAACTCAAATTGTTAAATCAAAAGAAATTGAAAAAAGGCTTCTAACTTATCCTATTTGATTATTTCACAACTTTATATGTCATGTTCACCCAGTCAATACATTCACTCAATTCTGTTATTTTATAGATTCATTTCCATTATTTAAAAAATAGACTTCGGTATCTTAGATAAAACTTGTAATTTGTTATGAGATTTATTACACAAACAGTTATAGTATGCAATAAAGATATTTTTTCATTTTCTCCAAATCTTACAATTCAATGCAAATTATGATTCATAATTAGAAAATCAGCTTGGTGATTTCTGATTTGAGTCTCAATTTAATAACCTTGCCTATAACTATGCCTTTCTAGTTTGATTTTATTAGTAATCTAACCACTAACCAAAAATATGCAAGATTTCCAACTTAACCATAGGAAAATGCTTTATGTGAGATTCCTCAGGTTTGTGGTAATTGCTATGGTCCATGTTTATCCACGGCCGATGCATAAGACCCTGACTATATGCAGTAACATCATTCGTCTCAACTTTAGTCTTCAAGCAGATTGGCTCTTGTTCAGAAGTACTTGTAAAGGTGGTAGATTTATTATTTTCCTTAACATTTTCATTCCTTCTCAAAATGAAAGATGTGAGGGATACAAAACCGGGGGGAACTGAAAGATTTTCTCTCTCCTCAAATTTGGTGCAATCATTTCCATAATCTGCTTCCATCGTCACTGCAGGAAAAAGCCAACCACATATTATCCACATAGCCATTTTTTACACCAATGGATTCTTGGGATAGTATGCATTAAACATGATTGCAAACAATTTACTACCCCTTTAACACTCAACAGGTTGAAACTTCAAACCAGTACAACAGGTCAATAAAACATCCAACATTTCAGTAGGAACAGAGAAGAAGTTTAAAGAAGAGCAAGGTGTGGTCAAAATTATAAATCGTGGTATTATATTATGCAACATTCATAAAATTCTTATATTTGCATATAACATAGCAAAAGTAAAAAGAAAAAAAGCCTTTATGACACAAACCAAATACTTAATTAAGTGTAAACTCATAATCATAAATGACAGACACAAAGACATGAAAAAAGCCACATAAACAAAAGCAAACAAAAACTCATACAAACAGTAAAACAGAGTTGCAGAAGAACAAATCAGAATTTGCTTAAACAGAGAAGACCTGTAATATCACCAGGAAGAATTCTGAAAGTCAACGAGAAGAATTCTGAACATAGCAGAGAGGAGCTCTGGTCATGATGGTTTCATCCAGCAGTTTTGAGAAAAGGCTTGAGAGGTTTAAAATGGCATCAAGAGAAAAATAAGTGTTTTCTATGTTCTCTTAGTGTAAAGGGTTAGTGAACACTTAGGCTAAGGTTTGCATAGGCCAAGAAAAGAGCAAAAAAAAAAAAAAACAACCCATCACCTACCAAGCAGAATGGAAAAAAACTCTTCTTGCAGTTCTATGCTTTAGTGTACAAGAACAAGACCAAATCTAAACATCTTTACCGTAAATACTAAGTGATGCCAAGTGAATTCACCAAACAATATGACAAAAATTCCAACTTCTATTAGCACTAGAATTCAAATTATTATTTATGCAAATTACTAAGGATAATCATATGAGCAGGTAGTACATGAGGTAATAAAAGAATTGGAATGGTTAAGAAATCATTTTGTACTTGGTTGCAAAGGAAAAGTGGAAACAATTGATAGTGTAGGCCTACTTATTCTCACTCTGGCTCATAAATTTACATCACTCCTTTATAGTGTGAATGAAATTGAGCTGAAAATGTGAAGCAGATTATTCTAATTATGAATTGCCCAAAATAATTTTCAAACCTACCAAGTAAGAACAAACTATAATGATTTCAATCCTCTCCATATCTTAGTGAATATCCAACAAGAGAAAGTCAAACCCATCATTTTCAGCCCCTTTTATGGACATGAGAAACAAAACAAAAACATCACATTAATAATTACAGCGCCAAAACTGCTTATAAAAACAAACCCGCAATGTCGGCAGGTGTTACATACCGAAAATAATCCAAGTCCTTCCGCAGCAGAGGAAGGGCCAAAAAATTGTTTCTGAATCCTATTCCAAGATGATACAGGACACAGGAACAAGTGAATCCCACTTGAAATTGGGTGCGATTCAATGCTAATATGGAGTAAAAACTAAAAAGAATGAAGCAATTATACATCTATTAATATAAAGACACCACAATTCACAAGCCAGCTGAAACCAATCCATGCAAGGTCACAATCCCAATCAAAATATTCTCATCGTTTATCACGGGCAAAAACTGAACAGGCGATGGAGGTGCCTCCATTTTCTTCATCGCCTCCACTGCCATAGCTTCCGGACCAATAATTCTTGGATTCCTAACACCCACAAAACACTCTCATTATCGTATACTCGCCTCCTCCTCAACAAAGCATTCAAAATAACTATTATAATGATGATGATTAAGTCACCTGTTGCACATTTTCCCCACAGTGAGATTGAAAATGGCTTCTCCACTCGCTCGGAGAGTGCGACGGAGATCACCGTCGGTGAACGTTCCGATCAGACGGTAATCGTCATCGATAACAAGGAGGCATCCGCATCCTTTACTCGTGAGCTCCACAAGCTGATCCATAATCAAATCCGATTCTCTACAAATTGGAAGCTCGTCCTGTTTCCTCATCACATCCTTCACCTGCAATTCAAATTCGAGTCAGACAACAACAATTTAGGAAAAACAAATGCAAGTGCCAATGCAAATGGAATAGAAAAAAGACCTTGAAGATGAGACTCTTCCCAATCTTGCCGGCGGGATGGTTCGCGGCGTACTCCTCCTTGGTGAGATTCCTCGCCTCCATTAGCGCGATGGCAACGGTGTCGCCGAAAACCATCTGAATGGCGGTGGATGTGACCGGCGCGAGATTGAAGGGACAGAGCTCTCTCTGGAGGGGCAAATGCACGGCCATGTCGCACATCGCGGCGAGCGCGTTGCCTTCGACGGAGGTGAGCGCGATGAGGAGGGCGCCCTTCGCCCTCGCGCAAGGCACCAGGCGGAGGAGCTCGTCGGTGGCGCCGGACTTGCTGAGGAGGACGAGCACGTCGCGTTCGGTGAGGATCCCGATGTCGCCGTGGAGCGCGTCGACCGGGGACAAGAAGGCGGAGCGGATTCCGAGTGAGACGAGCGTCTGCGAGATCTTGTGCGCGACGAAGCCGGACTTGCCGACGCCGGTGAAGAAGACGGTGCCGGAGGCGTCGAGGAGGGCGCGCGTGAAGGCTAGGGTTTGGGAGTGGTCGATGTGGTTGAAGAAGAAGTTGAGGTGGCTCTGTTGCGACTTGAACAGCGTCGTAAGGGCTCTCTCGTCAATGCGGCTGCTCTCTAGGCATTGTTTGGCCGCCGCGCCTGGGAATGCGGGCACAGGTAGAGAACCCATCGCGACGAGCTTATGAGGAAGGACTATTCGTTCTCCCAGATCACAAGAAAAGAACATCAAACAAACAGGTTTCTTGCCTTTTTTCTCTCACGATTAATAATAATGGGAGAAGATCGAACTCCGTTTGATTTATGCGGTAACAAAACGATCGTCGGTGGCGCCGTTAAAATTAAAATAATTTTTCTTTATGATGGACAACGTAAGGCCCATTTTGTATCCTAACCCACTTTCAATAAATTTGGCGATGTCGCTTTAGGAAAACATGTGCACATGTCAAATATACTTATTTTATTTTTATTAAAAAAAATTGGTATATGATCTTTCTATTACAACCTTCAAGCTTTAAGTAAACTTCTTTAAAAGTTTTGAATTTTCGATAAACAAATAAGAAAAATATGGAATGTAAGAGTTTTCTAACAACTTGGTAGTACAACATGAATGGTAATTTCACTGCTTTACAAATGAAATTATCTTTTTCATTTATTACAAATATTTATTTTTGTTCTGTAAGTACTTATGAGAAAACTTGTAGCAAACAGACCTTATTTTGTTTTTGTCACAACCTTGCGTACTTTTGGACAACAAATTAGTCTGATAATAGTGAAAGGCCCATCTTCCAAAGTTTTTGGGCTTGCATTAATTCGTTCTCTTTGGGCCAACCTTTTATGTTCACGCAATTCCTTCTAGAAATTTGGCTTAAGATTATGTTTTGGCAACATTTACTCCCAATATTTTTATACTAAATTTCCCAACATCATAAATCATCCATGCTTAAGTTTTTAACGCTGTTTAATGCATTTGCTTATGTTTAGATCAAACACGACCAATCATAAAAAGCAAATTCCGAACTTGGATCGAGTTAAAGTTAGAAGATATATCAATTTTCTTGTACTTATAATTTCTATTTATTTTTCTTATTTTTCAATCATGTTACCTATTTGTATTTTAAAATCTATTTCTTCCTTTCATTTCAATAAATCTCAAGATAAGTCTAGATTCATATTTTCAGAGAAAAAAAAGAATTGTGGTTGAAATTTTGTTGGGGACTTATTCGGTAGTTTTTGAAAAAAGAAAATGAAAAGAGTGTTAGAAAAGAGAGAGGCAGGCCCAATTCAAAGTCAGTCCAAAAGCAGAAGCCCCACGTGCACACCTGTCACCATTGTCTGCTACACTGACAGGACACTTCTGGGTGGATCCCATCACATGTACCTCCAATTAACTTTTTAACTACAATATCAAATTTTCCAACCTTAAATCACTATTGCAATGGAAACACCACCTTGTAATTCTTCTTATAATAATTGATATTGATATACATGTCATTCCTTTTTTTTAATATATATTTTTTAATTATATCCATTATTTATAGTATTTTTTTATTTATTACATTTTATTTAAGTGTAAATTAATGAGGTGTTTATATATATTTTCTATTAATTATATATAGATATTGAATGTAATAAAATTGTATGTATTAAATTAAATTTATACTAATTTGGATATATTGTTAATTGGATGGATGATTTGTAATATGAGCTCCAATTAGCATATTTTGAATTCCAACAATTATTTAATTATGGGATGATATCCTGTGGAATATAGCTGGAAAATTAGTAAAAAAAATTATATTGAAACAAATGAACATCTTATTTTATATTTCGTTGCCAATTTTCATTTCATAACTAAATAACAAATAATTGTAAATTTTACAAGAAAAAATTGAAAACAAAAAGACTATTCTAATGTTAATTTATTATCCTATTTTTTAAAATTTTAAACTAATTATTTATGTTTTTTAATTGATTCAAAATAAATTTTTTTAACTTTAATTTAATTTTTTAACAATATTTTCTCTCCTTTCTCTCTTTCACAAGTGTATCTCCTTCCTTCTTTGTCCACAACTTCTAATCTCAATTTCAAGCTCCACCTCTTAGTCCAACTCAATAGCACGGTAGAGATCTGATTCCCAAATAATCAAAAAGCAAAAAAAAATGAAAAATTCAAACTCCTAATAAATGAAATTTTTATATTAAAATCTAAATATATGAAAGTACAATTATAATTTTTTTGTTAAGATGAGAAAATTTAACAAAATCTCAAAATTATAATAACATTATAATATATACAAATAATTATTATATTAATTGATTTTTTAAAATCAAATTATTTATTTTATTATTATATTAGAGTCTATTCTAATAATATTAAAATATTATTTGATAATAATTATTAAAATAACTATTTATTATCATATTAATATTTAATATATCTTTTAAGAATGTATTCAAATGAAATTTAGAAAATCAATTCAAAATAATCCTTGTCAGCATCCTCTTATTTCTTAACAAAGTTAAAATCAACACCCCAAACAAAAGTTAATCAATGTTTTTGGATCCAGTGAAAAAGAGGGAGAATTAGAATTAGGAGAAAGTGACAAATTCTAGGTATCGAAAATCGGTCTCTAACTAAAGACATCAAAATTTTATTTTATTTTTAAATTAATATTATTGACATTTATTCTTTATATTATAACTTATTATAATTAATACTCTATAAATAATAATTTTATTTATTTAAATTATATTATTTAATAAAAATTTATTATTATTAAATTTTATTTTATATTTAAAATTTTAACAATATGATGACTTGTTTCGAATTTATAAATTATTACAATCGTAATTGAATGTGCCTATTATAACACACATTATCGATTTTATTTTACGATTTGATATTTGTTAACCAGGAAAATTTATAATAAATAAGAATTTATTATTAAAAATATAATAATATCACATTAAAAAAATCTTAAAATATAAATTTTTCTCATTTATAAATTATTTAACTTAACTTTAAATTTTCAAATAATGTTATATTATGTGTAGTCTCTTCAAATGTAAAGACATTTCAAGATTGCATAAATATTATAATCCTATTTGAAATCAACGCATATTTTTTCGAACTTATTTATTGATCTTTGTTTAAAAGAAATAATCAACCAGATTAAAAAAATTTGATTTAAATGAAGAAAAAAATATAAATAAGTAGTGAAAAAAATATTCAACTGGGTTAACAAATATTTTGCACAAATTAGTAAACAGATATATAATTTTTATATATAATTAATTATATTATAAAACACAGTTTATTGCGTAACTTTTTTTTAATTGGTCCATAATATATTATAAGAATCCAAAATATAATGTGACCCCTGTTTTTTCCTTTTTACTTTCACATTTGTTATTTTTAATAACAATAACAACACAGTTTTTAAATAAATAATATTGAAAATAGTTTTTATTTTATTTTTTACTATTTCTTAACTAAACAGTTTTATTTTTACTTTATTGTAACTTTATTTCACATCTTATATTTTCTTAACTATCTATGACCTTTCATCTGATTCTTTCTCTCTTAAAAAATAAAACATAAAATAAAAAGGACATTACTGAGACCCTTTGAGAGAAAACAATTTGTCTTTAAAAAAAGTTGAAATGGTAAAAGGGTTCTCTTTTATATATATAACACTCCAAACAAATGTAGTTTAATATTAACGCATGCATTGTACATTTGAATCCTCGCAGCCTTTGCCATTACTCATATATGCATCACACTGTTTGAAAGTGAGATTTTTATTACAGTTACATTATTAAATATTATATATATATATATATATATATATATATATATATATATATATATATATATATATAAAGCCATAATATTGAGTTAAACTTGCATATGTTTACCAACGTACTCTTGATGTACTTGTCATACTTGAATACTTTGGTGAAGGACAAATAGTTTAGGTTGTAGGGGCTGGTCTTCTTTACATATATAAGAGAGATATTGGAAAAAGTCTTCCTCCAAAACACACGCGTTTGGCAAAAGTTTCTCTTTTTTTGTACGAAAACAAAAATAACAATCTGCAGGCATTTCTTTATTCTCTGGTGTCGTTTTCAAACTCCATTATTGAAAGAATGAAACTATTACTAACAAGCAGAAACAAAGGTGGTAGCTTGGTCCCCCTATACTTCTATGCATGATTCACAACTTCCTCTTATCTTTAAAGTTTCATTTTAATTCTTTTTTATGCACCAAAATGATGCCATTACAATCATGTGTATGCATTTGTTAAGTAGAGTTTGATTGAGAATGTCCACATTCAAAGAGACCTAACATTATTGCTTTCTCTCTGTACTGTTCGTAGAGAGACTGATTTAATGGACTTCTAAAGCAGAGAAACTGATTTTTCTATTTTAAAGATGACACTTCAATAGTTGGCAAAATATGTATGAAAAGATGTCACCGTTGAGATAGAACATTTAAATAGTTATGATATGAAAATGTTTAAATAAAAAATCAATTATTTGAAATAACTTTTGGTCGACATATTTTTATATAACATACTAATTGTGTTAAATTGGAGATTAAAAGAAAAAAAGATGAAATTTTTTAAATTTATTGAAAAAATTAATAAAATAAAATAAATAATAAATTATTTAAAATATAATATTAAATCATAAATTTTTATTTTTATTTTTTTAAAATAAAAAAATTAAGGAGATAATCTATTTAGAAATACCTTATTTAAAAGTGTTTTTGTGCCATATAAGAATAAATGTTGAGGAAAATACATTTTAATATCTAAGATTGGTGTATGTAATTTGTGACGTATGCCTTATTTTAATATTATATTAATATTATCGTGCAATAAAACTTCGTAACGAAGTTTTCCTCCCGCACTGATAAATTTTTTTCTTATATATGCATAGTGAAGCGAGGGAGGAGGAGAATCAAAATTTTCCTCTCATCCTTCTTCTTCTATTGTCTAAATTTCAAGCAACGAGACTTTACTCGTGCAGGATCTGGTGAAACGGGAGAAAGCTTGAATTAAGTGGGAAAGCTTCGGTAGAAATACCATACCAGGTAAGGGGAAGTTTAATTCATTCAATATATGAAATTGAATTGCTGGGTACTCTGTGAATAAGGAATAGGAGTAGAGATATGAATTATTTGAATGTCTGATTTTGAAGAATGTCTGATTTTGAAGAATTTTTTATTTTGATGAACTGTTTACCGTTTAAAAGTTTTTGAAATTCTTGAAATTAAGGATGAATTATATAATAAAAGTGTTATTTTTAACTTAAATTGAACATGTTTATGGTTTAATTTTGATTTGGAACTAATTTGGGTGATTGAAACTGAGAAATTTGAAACCTGGATTTTGAAAATGGCGTACTGAGGTGATTACTATTCATATTTTGCAAAGTTTTAAATATTGATTAAATTCTTGAAATTAAGGATGAATTATATGGTAAAATTGTTGTTTTCAACTTAAATTATATATAATTCATGTTTAATTTCGATTTGGGACTAGTTTGGTTGTCTAAAACTGAGTAATTTGAAATATGCCAAAATCTGCAAAATTTGACACTGTTACATTGGCGAAGGAAGAAGAAATACCATTCAAACATAACAAAAATTATTCACATTTGCCGGATTCTGGACCACCTGTCCTCACGGCTCATTCGAAGTCAATAAAAATAGTATTTGATTGATTCCGGCACCAATCCTCCAGCTCGATCTAGCCAATATATAACGTCTCGGGACTGATTATGGGCATCAGCCCTCAGGCTCGGTCGACCCACACACGTCACAACACATTACTTTCATTCTCTCTCTTTATATATATATATATATATATATATATATATATATATATATATTTTTTTTTTTTTCTAAAATCATTTCGAAATCATTTCCGAAATCATTTCAGAAACTATTTCAGAAACTATTTTTGAAATCATTTTCGAAATCATTAAATTATTATTTTGCCCTTAATCTTTTCTTAAAATTCCATGTATGTCCCTAAATGACTATTTTACCCTTGGACATTTTTGAAAATTCCTTCCATGTCCCAAAAATGACTATTTTGCCCTTGGACATTTTCAAAAATTCCTTCCATGTCCCAAAAATGACTATTTTACCCTTGAACAATTTCAAAAATTCCATTTATGTCCCTAGGATGTAAAATGACTATTTTGCCCTTGAACATTTTTGAAAATTACATTTATGTCCCTAGGATGAAAAATGACTATTTTACCCTTGATCTTTTTAAATAATCCCCACCATATGTACAGAGTACATTAGTGTAATAACTATGTCGGAGGATTCTGAATGAGGTCTCAGACTTCACTGATTGGTCGGGTCAGGTAGACTACGAGATCAGGTGGTGAGAAGTCGATGGGGGATGACTGGTGGCGCGCTCAGAGGGGTACTCCAGTATGAGTGATGAAGGGCACCAGTAATCCTACTCGTGTGGAGGGTGGTCGGAATGGTGCTGCGGTACCGATCACAATGTACCCACGGATGATAGCCTCCGAGTTCGGGCATAGTTAGAGTATACTTCGGAAGGTGTCTTAGTGTGTTGATAATTTCGTAATTGATCATAATATATAATTATTACTTCTATATCTGTTTTATTATATCGAATGATTTAATACTTACCCCTATTTTTCCATGTGGATGGGACTGCGATGATCACTTTTATGTGGGAGCGAGATCGGGAGTTGAGAGATGGAGATGTGACTACTAGACAACGGGGATAGTTCAGTGGGATAGCTTCGAGGGAGCTACTTTTACATGTATAATATATAAATAAATTATGTTACTATAATTTGAGGTTCAGTTAGTGAATCGGAATTTCAATCTATGTTACAATTACGGTAATATAATGTAAAATAGATATCATTATTTACTTGTTTACTACTTTGCGAAGACATCATTATAGTAGCGATTTCTAGGGTCGTTACATAATTAGTATCAAAAAATTTACCAACACGTGTTTTAAGTTGGAAATATACATTACAATAAATATTGAAAATATCAATGGTCAAAATCCTTCAATAATAATAAAATTTTGTTGGTAAATGTTGTACAAAATTACCGACAAACGAAATCCGTTGAAAATATTTTTATTATTTATTGTAGTTTTTACTCATTTATAATCTCCTCTCCTTTATATTTTTATTATTTATTTCCTCCAATTATATTTTTATTTTTGAATTATTATTAGAGTTAAAGACCGATACTCTAACCACTAAGTTACTAATTTTTTTATAATAATTTACAAATAAATTATATTTATATACAAATAAATGTATATCCATGTAAATATATAAATAAAATATATTTATATATTTTGATATATTTATATATAATTAATTTTTTTTAATTATTTAATTTAATAAGTTATTATAAAATAATCTAATTATGATTAAATTAAATTATTAAATAAAAAAATATTTAATTTTTTAATTAGGTGAATAATTAATTTATTAGAATATATTTAAAATTAAGTAAATATTATATAATTTTAATGTACCGACGGATTTACCAACGGATATATCCTTTGGTAAATGATTGTTAATTTACTAACGAGATAATTAATTGCTAATTTACCGACGGATATATTTGTCGATAAATAATAATTAATTTACCGACGGATATATCCCAGTAAGACTAAATTCTATAAATATTTTATATATGTCAGTCATTTTCATCAGTAATGACTCATTTTTCAATTGCTACAAATGGTAAAAATGTATTAAAAATATGTGATTTTCTTATAATAAGTCCAGTTAAATAATGAAAATGAGAACGATAAATTAATCTAAAACACGTCTTCTTCTTCGTAATAGAAGATATGCCTTTTTGGTTGAAATAATATAAGATGCATGGCATTAAACATACACACTAAGTTGCAAGACTAGACTCAAGAGTATGTATGACCTACTCAGCAGAGGAGACTTCGAGAAAAAGAAAAGAAATACAAGTATCTCAAATACTATGTTTGACAACAACAACAACAAAAATTGTAACATATAATCTAGATAAAAAATAGAATGAAAAAAAAGTAAAAATTGAGTGAATAACAAATTATATATATAATAAAAATAACTCATTTTAATAATTAGATTAAAAAATTAATAATAAAGATAAAAAGTTAATTTTTAACTTAAAACTCAATATCTTAATTAAAAATTTAAGTATGTCTAAATCTTACATAAAGTAAATTGAATCACATATAAGTTTATTTTAAAAAAAATTATTTATACTTATTTATTATAATTACTAACAAAATGTTTTCTGGT